CATTTTCTCTCGAAACGCGGAAGTTTGCAACGCACCGGAAACCATGTGGATGCACGTCAAGCTCTTCGACTACAATCAATTTTTTTCTCACCTTAAGGAACTCCCGTGCGATCTACCTTGAAGGCACGATTTTCATTCAACGTAGAACACGAGAGAAACAGGATCAATACTACGACGAAGCGAGTAAAATCTCAATTTTGAGCTTCTCTTGTAATCTACTTCTATCGAATTTCTCAATATTGTACAAGTCATTAATGCCAATATTCTTGACTTATTAGACTTATTGTTGACATTGATTATTATCATATACGGACTATTTTTCAAATAACCGATTGAATAATCTTTCCTTTTCTTAGTAATTATCTTTTTTATTTGTTAATTTGTCATTAGAAATTATTCAAATAGAGAAAAGATATTAAGATATAACTTCTTAATGTAATGTATTTTTTTCTGCTGTTGTCGAGATTTTTATGGGAAATTTATTTTAAATAACTTATTTTAAAAAATACATAAATTACACAGAAAACAATTTTAATTTCAGAGAAAGTTCTGCTTCGTCTGTTTTGCTTGCGTTTTAATTTTTACGATTTTTCTTTATGACGGAATTTAAACTGTTCTATAATAGAAATATCTGCGAACCATATCTGTGAGATATTTTTGTCCATCATAAAGCCTGCGGCGAAATTACACGCGATCGCGTCTTGGACTTTTAAAGTATACCGGTCGACATAATGAGATTTTTCATTCCTTTATTGTGTATTTCGGATTCTTATCCGGCTTTCCGATCGTCATGCGTACGAACGATAAATCAAATTGAAAATACGCGATGTTGTGAACGTATTTGTTCACGCGAGCTTTTTTACCGAGCGCTTCGCATCGGTGTTATGACGGACTAACTATTTCCCATTTTGTGTGAATTACGACTTTTATCTAATCAATAATCCATCTAATCGGATTTACCATATATAATCGCAAATATTTGCCGACTACCGCTGGTCAAAATTGTGCCTACTGTATAATTGCACACTCGTGGGTGCCTCGTTATATTGATTTCCATGACTAATAGTGATACACGTTACTGCTCATTAATGACTAATTAGCGAGTGTACAGAGTGGTGGAATAGAACTCGTAGAACATAATTAACTTTGCTCTTGAGCTACAGCGAAATATATGTAAAATCAGACGTATTTGAGTTTGCCCTGATCCTAAATTATAAATGTGGCCACGTCGTCAAACACCAGACAAGTTCGAAATAATTAAAAGTACTGGGTGTGCTCCGTTTCTCTCTCTCTCTCTCTCTCTCTCTCTCTCTCTCTCTCTCTCTCTCTCTCGTCCGCTGAATCGATATATTTTTAGGTAAACTGTTATCGCGCGATTATAAATTTACGTTGTTTACGTTGTTTACGTGAATTATATCAAATCTCAAAAATCGAGATAAATCGCTTTAAACCGCGCGGCCGTCCGCGCATCAATTTCATAATTGCAGCGATGCGTGGCGCGACGTCCACAAATCACCGCATCTGTTGCTGCGGCTTTCGGGGATGCGTGTTCCAACGATGCAGGGACCAGCGGTGGCGAGCGGTCGTATTCTCCGGGCAGATCCGGGTATACGGGCAAATTAGATCGTGACGTCGGCTATGTAACAAATTGATGAGCGGAAAATCAAATGAGATTTATGGTCTTGCGATCGCCTGGCGGGCCAACATGGCGCGTCACATTTGCAATCGCAAATGGAACGGTGCAGAAAGCGTATAGGAATTTTCAAATAATTTCAACATCACAACAATGCGAATTTAAGTAAGTCAAGAGGAATGAAAAAAATGTAATGTGAATGTAGAGGTAGATACGCTGAATGAACAGCTAAAGGATATTATTCGATAATTGATTGATCACTTAAAGATAAGTGAAAAATGTCATTCCATCGGATAATTTTGCTTTCGCGCGTGTAAAACTTTAATTTTCTTTTTCTGTAGAAAAGTTTCCCATTTAAAAAAATTAAAAAAATTGTTTACAATTAATAAATCATAAAATGAAATATTTTATAAAATTGATGAAATAATTTAAGTTGCATTAAATTGTGAAGCGTATAAAATTTAAATTATATTACATGACAAGTATATCGCGGATAACGCAGAAACGAAAGCAGTACTTGCATACCTCGGCACAAAAAAACAGTAGAAACACCGACAATACCAGGGAACACTGCTTTTTCGGAAGTGCTTTCAGCGCATTTAAAGTCCATATCGTGCTATAAAATCGCGCAACAATTCTAACGAACCCATTGAATCTCACGCCACGAACCGAAACATCGGCGCGCGTACACAGAAAACGCATCTGAGGGCATCTAAATGGAAAAATATACCTCTGTACAAAAACGAATAGAAAAAAAACTGAAAATCCGCGATCGTGTCATAACAATAAACACCCGAGAAATCAGGAGGTCTCTACAGTTTAATACTTTAAATAATAGAGACTTAATAGATATGATACAACTTAATTTTTTCTAAAAGAAATTTACACAACTCTGAAATAATCCATAATGATTGAAAAATGCATTAAACCAAATATGCATTAATATAAATTCAATCAATTTTTTAACTTTTAGATTTATAATACACCGTATTTCTTATCTCTTACTACTTTATATTTCATTTTTATGAAGAAGAGATGCAAGAGTTATCTATATAAAATTATAATTACGCTGGCTTTTCTTCAGAATTGCATTTGGGAAACTGCAGTTGGATTTACAGCATTTCGCGTCTTCCGCAATTCGTTTGTTCGAAAACATGAGTCTGTCAAAATTGCTAGATTTCGACTGACTTGCCTCTGCCTCTCGAAGCTACCCGGCGATCGACCAGCCAATCGGTCGACGGGATGAAATATGATAGTCGTTGCCCGCGCCACGCCCAGTTTATCATATTTCTTGAAGTGCATTATCATAATAGCATCGTGCATGGGATCGGTGGTGGTTGGTCGCCGCGCCGTCGTTCCGCCGATGACACGCCACGTCCTAAACTCGCGAGGAGATCGATGCGATCAGCGTGTTGCGTCGCGTTGCGTCGCATCGCATCGCATCGCGTCGCGTCGCGTCGTGTCGTGTCGCGTCACGGCGCCTTCCCGGCAGGAAAGCAAACCTCTATATTTTTTAACGCTTGGGATGATAGCTCTTTAAGGGCGGAGCCTTTTTATTGGGATGCGGTGCGAAGTTTCTTATGATATAAATTATTATGAGATATACTTATGCATAAACTAAAACGTACATTATCTCACTAATGTGCATCATCAGGCTCGAATGACAGCGAAAATCGTCACATTTGAATAGCGTCTATGTATGTATGTATGTATGTATGCGTGTATATAAAGAATAGGTTTTAAAATATTTTTTATTTTTCTTCCATCTGGATTGTGAAATATAAAATCCGAAAATCTAATGGAAATTTAATTTACACTGAAAAATAATGAAAATATTTCCTACAAAGAGATGTGAAAAAATTTTTAATATGTAGAGAAAAGTGACAAAAAGCCTGATTTAATTTTATTTGTTTATTATACTACTGAGTAAATGTTAAATCCCAAATGTCAAGCGAAAATGATTATAAATTTAAATATAATCTTTTCATATAGGGATAGAATACCATTTGCCCTCTTTTTTGTAAAATGTGGAAAGTTATCTGAAACAGTTATCTTGCATATTATGTAAAGTATACGGTATAGTATGAATATTAAGATCATGCTACAGCTTTGATTACTACAATATTATGTCACGTTATGAAACCTCAACAACACGTATGCGCATACTAATGCCAGTAATATTTAAGTAAATATTAAAGTTAATATTTATTGCATAATTAAGCTATACTGTGAATGTTCTGGAAAATATGTGTCTCTGTATTGCTCTTCGATTATTATAACTTTTTTAAAGCTTTTTTAAAGTCATAGATAACATTTAAACCCCTAATTGAAAGCTATTTACAAAAACTTTCTCAACCATTTTGAATTTGCATGTAATGATAAGCTTAAATTAAAATGTCGTTTTATCTGCCAGTGATAATGTATTTAAAAAACAAGTAACAAAAAAGATTAAATATACTGAAAATTTATAATAATTACACATTAATCTTGATATTCTTAAATATATATACACACATACAACGACATGCATAAAGACTTCGATATATCTACATATACATATTTTTTTTATTTTTTAAAATATATTATTATGAGAATATAATTAATTACTTTACATATTTGTATCACTTTTCTCTTTTGCATTTAATATAAATTTACTTTAATATTATATAATATTTAAATATATTATTCAACTGGATAAACATTGAACAATTATCCTTTGTTTCGTTTTATAACACATCAATTAACAAAACAAAAAGCATAGAATTAATATAATTTTGGAATATAAGGATTAAATGTACCAGTAGTGTCGGATAAGTTCGGTGACAAAAGAGCGGATGAGGAAAGGAAAAAGTCGGCTACAGTCTTTTCCGATGCAAAACGCGTTGGTATAAGAAAGATACACGAGGGCGATAGTGATAGTGCAGGTGGGGATTTAATCAACTTTTCTTTTTGTCTCGTAAATCTTCGTAGACGCGGCATCTTCGCCCATGCGAATCACCCTCTCGATTTTTTATCGAGACGCTCGCGTGTTTCTTTAAACTTGCTACGAACATTCCCTTTTTATCTTCTTTTTGTTATTTCGACTTTTTTTAAATAATAATCACGTTTGTTATGCATTTTTATATAAAATAATTCTGATTAAATATCTAATCAGCACGAATGTTAAAGCTAGAGGATTGTGACATTATATTAAATATACAGAATACCAAGTACTAAATTAATTTCAAGAAAAGCAATAAAAAATTACACACAAATCACAATTTCTAAAATTTATCTTAAGGTTAATGACATAATTTTGAATATGAAAGATTCACGCATTCACGTGTGAATTGTCAAAATTAAATTCGAAATATTTGTCTGTTTTCAGCAAAACAAGGTCAGATAATAGACATTGAACCAAAAAAAGAGACTGCCGTGCGGGTCGGCGAGAAATTGCAAATTCTTTGCAAGGCCGAACAACCGCTTCGCGTTTGCCGCGTGGAGATACCTGGTGAGGGTAGCATGGTGCTGTCTGAGAGAGACAAACCATCGGAAGACGGCATCGAGTATTACGGCGATGGATTAAACTCGGGCCAGTGCGGCGTTCGTATCACTAAGGTGAAGGAGACTCACGACGGCATGTTCAAATGCTCTCTGACGGCCATTGATGCCCGGCAAGAATCGACTGCTTCTATCAAGATTATCGTCGCAAGTGAGCGTTCTTTCTTGAGATATTAATCCGTTAATAAAATTGTTACATAGGTTCGACGTGTCAAAATTGTAGAAAAATCTTATTTTTAAATTATATTCTTACTATATTTATATTTCAAAGGTGAACATACTGTAAGAAATTATAAATTCCATTTATAGATATACTTCTTTATACATAACTATTATTTTAAAAAAGAAAGTTATTTTAGTTTTATATATAACTATTTTATATTAATTTGTAAATTTTGCGATTGTTTGTAATATTCTAATTTATTATTGATAATTATTTTATACATTATTTTATACATTACTATACTATACTATAAACTATAATATTTAAAAGTAAGTATGACGAAAACATTGTTTTGTGCGAAATAAATAGGAGATAGGCTATTTTTGACAAAGAGATTACGATGAAAAGAAAAAACATCAATTAGAGTATGAAACAAAAAATAAGCTAACGCTTGTTCCACTCGCTATAGCTGTATTCGAAAAGTAATTAATCTTCCTTAAGGAAATTGCTTACAGAGACTGAAATAAGCGCTCGGAGCAAAATTACCGTTTAAGATGAACCCGATAAAGATAAATGGCGAGATTCGTGAATATCTTAGGAAAATTTGCTGTTATTTTAACGTAGGAAAACATTATTGTGAAAAAAGTTTAATTTTAATTATTTCTTGGATTTGGATAATAATGCGATAATAAAATGTGTGATAAAATCTATTCAAAGAAATACTTACTTTAATTTCTCAGGACCACCGAATAAACCGATTCTTCTAACGAATCGTGGAAGTGTTGGCTCACATACATTTAGAAAAGGTGAAAAATTGGAGATCAGCTGCAGCGCCCCAGCTGGACGGCCAGCAGCAAATGTGTCCTTATTTCTCGGTTAGTATATTTATTATTTAATATCCTAGAGAAATATATGTTCTTCTTCATTTTAATTTCGGATCTCATAACAAAAATCTGTAGAAACCAAGATAAAAAATTTGTTTAAAGTTTAATTTAAATAATATAAAAAATTAAATAATATTAATCTTTTGCAATAAAATGATAAGAAAATTTGATAAAAAATATAACAATGTTTCAAATAGAAGCACATAATGTAAAGCATCAAGAGCTTTTACATCTTTAAGTTAATAACACAGTTATTAATGTTTCTTATCTAAAAAAATCAGAGCAATAAAGTAATATATTTTTAGTTTTATCTGTAAGATATATTTAATACTAATCAATATTATTTTTATTTTAAACATTTAGACGACGAGCTGATTGGCGACGACAGAAGTATGTTTTATGGTACACATATGGATGATTCCTTGGCGATGCAAAACTCTTCACGCAGTTTAGATTGGACAGATAATGGCAAAACGTTAAGATGCATAGCCAATCACATCGCTCTCGACAGACCAAAGGAAACGACTATGCAACTCGAAGTATATTGTAAGTTACTGTCTTTATAATAGAAAGCGTTTTCTTATTTAACTTTTGCCTTACAACATTTTCAAAGATTATTTTATTTCTTTCATTTTATTCTTTTTATTCTTATAACTTACTCTTTTTTACTATATACAATTTTTATCTCTTTTTTAAATTCTGTTTTGTATTTTAAAATTTCGAATTTTCTTTAATATTACTTTTTAGCACGTAGTGATAGAATCTGTATATTTAATAGTGGAATAGAAATTTATTTGAAATAATAATTTTTATATTAATAAATTTAAATTAACAATTATTCGACAATTATTCACAAATCCTAACAATGTAGATATTGTTTTTTTTTATTTTAAAGTAGTTTATTATTTTGTAGATTTTTTTAAGAAGGTATATTTTTTCTTCCAGATCCACCTCAGCCACATGAAACATTTGAACGTTTCGGATATGTAATTGGTAGACAGGGAATTATTAATATTACCATTTATGCGTATCCCAAACCGCGATTCACATGGATAGTAGACGGCGCAAGAATTGACGCGGGTCAACCTGACGACAGTAATCGATTTCAAACTTCAACCCCCATGGAATTGGTAAGCTTTTTTTTTTTCAATTAAATTTCATTACGCTCTTTTTCCTATAATACATGTGTCTACAGACTTAATTGCTTTTTAAATATATATAATTATCACAGAAACCGATGAAGCTTTATGATCAAAAATCAATTTTTTTTTATTGTTCCTTGACTGGGTACGTTCCATTTAGTGACTACACAAACGTCGTTTTATTTTTCTTGGCATTCAACGAATAACAAGGACAATACGATACATCATTAAATAGAAAGCATCCATTATCAATGTTAAACATCTTTAATCTGATTCAAAGAAGTAAAAAATTTTAATTAAAGAAAAGAAGTGGGATTTTTGTTATTTTTGCTTGTGGTCTCGAATTAAAAGCGTCAAGAAAAGCACTTGTTACTTTACGTCGGTCTCTTTCAATAACATCTTGGCAATTGATTCTTCATTAAAGAGAAAAACGGTTTTCCAAATTCGTGCAAAGGTATTACCATTTGCTATCGATCCTCATGTTTCAACGATAATCCTGTTAAAGCAGTCACCCCGCGATGTGGTCACAACCACATGGTAGATAGCGCATTTGGCGACTCGATCTGGCGAAACATTGAGCAGAACGCGTCGGGAACGCCGGTCGATGGTTCGTTTAGAGACCCGAGCCATTCTCCTCGGTGACAGATGAAACGTAGGGGAAAGAAACGCGCGAGCCCAAGAAATAATTGGCGATGAAAGGGAAGAGCCAGCCGGATTGGTGGAGGCAAATGAAACAGAAATCCAATATTGCGCTGTGACTCGGCGGCGGGCCTCGATTTACCGTTCGTCCGATGCATTCTCTATGCACCTGTGTGACAGCGCGCGCGGAGTGCAGCGCCGTAATGAAATTCCATTGAATTCAGACACGGCGCATCGATCGGCGCCGCGTGATCGCACGGAGGCCCTCGGGCGTCGGAGGCGTTTGTTCCTGGCCCATTGTTTCGTTAGCAAGAGGCGGTTTGTTCATCCCATAGTTAAGGTTTAAATGGATTTGCCGATCTTGCAACTTGCGCTTTTTAATTAGTTCGGGATGGACGAATGGGAGTAGGCAATGGCGTTCCGTCGCTCTTGAATACCGCCGGTCGCGTTTTTGTCACTCTGAATTCATTTATTAAATCAGTTCGAGGGGAGAAAAAAAGATAGAAGTCTAAAAAAACTTGAACGAAACTTAAACGTTTTCCTCGGATAGTCGTCTAGAGCTAGAGATTTGTTCTTTCGGGGAAGAAATTTCTCATGTTCGCAAAGAATGCGAATGGTTGAGAGAACGTCCAAATTCTCTTTTTCACCGCCCGTTTTTAATTTTTTTTTTTTTTTTCTTTTTCTTCGTATTTAATACTTATGTAAAATCGGGAATTTTATCGTCGAGCGCCAGCTGCTTCGTGCAGCGGAATCGCAGCGGAAAGTCGCGTAAGCCGATGAACTTCCGGACAAATCGCAAACGTACGATTCTCGGGCGCGCGAGAGGAGGGGGGGGTCGAAGCGTTAATCGAGCGGCACGCGCGCGGCCGAGTGCATTCAATGACGCGGGCAATTACCCGGTCGAGGGAGAGATCTCAATGGCCTCCCGATAATTTTGCCGGAACTCACGATTCGGGCACAAACTTTCAGAGCAAACGACACACTCGCGCGGGCTCAACGCTCTAGAACAACGGCAGCGTGTGCCAGAACCAATAAAAGCCGCCACCGCCGCTCTACCGCCGCCGCTATCCGGCAACCGGCTCCGGCTCGCGTATGAATGGCTTTCAAATAGGCTGCAACCCTCCCAAGTCTGCAAGCAACTTGCAGCGGATTACCGTGCGGCAAGCCGATCGGGCGCCGCGACATGCCGCGCCACTGACGAGTACGAATCAGCCTCCATTCTGAAAACGCAATTACTAACGGTGAGCCGCTCGAGAGGCGAAGCTCGGAAAGACTCAGTACATCGCTTTCGTTTCTATAATAGCATCCGAGAACAACGCTCGACGCGATATCGAGATTCACCGAAATGGATTTTTCCTCGATTAGAAAACTGCAGGAACAAAAAGTTTAATAAAAATTGATAGAATTTACAAAAAAAAAAAAAAAGAAAAAACAAATCACGCGGAACATTTTTATTGTCGCGGAAAGTAACAGACATGAAAAATGCAATAGAAATTAAAGTCACTTAACTTGAGAAGAATAAAGCTCATAGCATTCGTTTGACTGCGAAAAATTTCAAAGGTAAATATTTTACTGAAATTAAATAACTTTGATTAAAAGTGAAGGAAATTTGTTCGTCGTTGTAGTTTTTCTTTTCCTTTGCTTCACCCCGCCCCCTACCCGTAACGAGCGCTATAATTATCAATTTACTTCTTTTTAATATATGGATTACAAAGATTGCGCAAAAACTCGTAGATTAATGGCGTAAGCTTCGGAATAATTTATAGTGGACGTACCTTCGCGTGCGCGCGCGGGGACATTTTAAAAGGCTTAATTAAAGGGTATAATTAATGAGCGATGGAGCGTAGAAAATTAAGAGCTCGGCGAAATGGGATCGGATTGATGTACGTTCGTAACACAAAGCTACGTTCACAGGCAAAAGGAGTGTGGTCTTTAATCCTGAAGATCGACAGCGTTCAGAAATCCGATACGGAGAAGAACTATGCGTTAGAGGCGTCCAACAGTGAGGGATCATATGCATATAAAATCGTTTTGTCGACATCCTCAGAACCAGCGGGTAAGTTATTCGACAAATCTGACTTACGTAAGTTCTCTTTTATTGAAGACGTCACACCGTGCACCTAGAAATACGAATTTTATACATACCGAAACTAACCAGAGCACCACGAATATTACGATAATTGGCAATACAAGAATGTGCGAACTATACTATATACTAACTATATACTAACTATATACTATATACTAACATTTTATTATTTCTAATAATAAAATGTTAGTATATTAATTAATTGAAAAAAAAAACAATCGTAATTCTTATAATTATATATTTTAATTTATTTGGTAACCAGACATTCTTTTATAAATGAGTCAAGAAGTTTTCCCAATAGAAAATTTAATTATTGACTGTTTTGTTTTTGAAATTATTTTAAAATATCATTAGATTTAAAGTAAAAAGCCTATTTGAAAACTGAACTGAAAAACTTAAATATTCTTTTCTTTTTAAATATTTTATTCACATTTTTTAAATAAAATTTGCTATCTTTTGAATCTCTTGCTTTGTGATTTTATTTCTAAAAAAGATTAATCCTATTTGATATTATCGGATATCTTCTATGTAAATGAACAATTTCTTCAATTAAATTATTACATTCTCGAGTTTTGATATATAGCAAGCGAATGATGCGTAACACGCAAGCAATCAATAGACCTCCACACACGCTTTGTTCACACATTTTTTTTCTTTGATCGCCTGAACCAACCGTCGTTCACACTTGGCTGTCCACCGATCATCCACTACTACATCACGTTCATAATCATGCCAACGCGATCTCGCACGTAAAATCGCGGCTATCGATCGTCACGTATAATCGCCACGATCGCTCCCCCTCCCCCCCTCCATCACATACATAACACACACGCGTCTTCGAAAGTACGTTCTGTTTTATGTTTTGTGTGCGTGTCTAACCATATCGATCCTTCACCGCATGCTCACGCAGGACCGCTCGGTAACCTCTATGGTAAGCTCTCCGAACACATGTATGCACTAGGTAATGTCATTTTTTCAAATTACTATACGTAAGTAGTCTGTGTAGTCACGTAAACGCGGCGTTCCGTGCACGGCGGTTCGAGGTAAAGACCGAGGATGATCGCGCCGGGAAATTAATAACCGCTATTTGGCTAAGGGCGTAATATACGTCGATCACGAGAGAACACGTTGACATTGATCGAGCGACGAGTAATTTACCAATTTCAACGGCACAACGACTGCGAAACAGTTCTGGATTTCTCGATGACGCGGTTCGGATCGGATCGCACGAAACGCTGTGTGATGAAATATGCGTACACGTCGCACTGTGATTATTATTGACTTCGGCGCAAGTTGTACGAGATAATGTGTGTACAACTCGCGACTTTTGTGATGGATGTTTGATGAATTTCGAACGAAGTATTTCTCTTTATCGGAAATATCGATGAAGAAGATGAAAAATTTTTTTTTTAATTCCTAATCTTTAGCGAGAAAACGAGAAAATAGTTTAGATGAAATTTAAAAAAAAATGTGCTTTTATTGGAATTATTTGAAAGTTATTTACGCCAGTATTTCGGATAATAAAATATCGATAAAAAAATGTAATAATAAATTAAATTCGTGAAAATATTTTATGTAATAATATAATGTAATTATTACGTTTTATTTGATAAATAAGTTTCTTTGATTTGCACTATATATCAGTACTTTGGAACTAAAATATTGAAAAATTATAAAAATGTGAATATAAATCAAACAAAGTGAATATAAATTTATTTCTCTATTTAACAATATTATTACCATCGAAAAATAATAAATAATTTGAAATTTTTATCTTAAATGTCATTTCATGTGCGATATTCTCCCTTTTTTAATTTTGATATCAGAGAAACTCCATTAGTTTTTCCAAGGCATTCATATAATACCGGATACACATAAAAGCTACGATAACAAGAGGCATTTTTTTCCTTACAATTTGCAGGCGTTGTTTTGGACACTGGATCCATCATCGGTATCGTCGTGGGCTTTTTGGTGCTCATGCTCATTATTTTCGTCGTAATCTTTGCACGCGCGACTGGCCGCTGGTGCTTTGCAGGTGAGTCGATTTAGAGATGTACTCGGTAAAAAAGAACCCTCTTTAGATTACATATGCTATATATTATATATATATATATATATGTCAGCCTCACCATTTTTCTTTCATGTTTCCCTAATGATTTGGTTACGCGGGAACGGTCAGAAATACAAACCAGAAATACCGTAAAATTTAAGTAAAAGATGTCGTTTGCACAAGAGTAACTTCTTAGTAAATATGAGCTCATTAAAATCAAGATTGTGTAATCAATTATAGGGAAGATGAGTTGGAGAAAGATGAATGACAGAATTCAGAAAAGAATTTTTCAATGGCATACGTTTTTTGCTTGTTTACATCACTTCTATTCTCTGCTTTTGAATATTAATAACTTCATAAAATTTAGTGATAAAAATGAAATAAGCGTAACTCTGAAATATAAAATATAAGAATTAACAAAAATGAATCTAATTTTAGATAAAAAAAATGCATATGATAAAAACGCACTAAACAAATCATATCAAGATTCGATTAGTAATAAAATCATGATATATCGATATTGAATTAAAAAAGTAAAATATAATTTATTTATCTTTAATATCTATAATTTTTTCAATTTTAATTTAATGTAATTGTTCAAATAAAATTGCGCGGTGATGTTTATTCGTTTACTCAACAAACAAGATTATAAAGGCTTGTTATTTTTTCATCTTGCGAACATGCATAATACATGAGGAAAATTTTTTATGAATTTGTTACAAATAGGCACCATAAATGAAAGAAATCCTCGATGTTCAAAAATATGTGGCGACGACTTTAGAGACAAATGAAACGATAATATATTCATAATTTAGCATAAAACTCGAAATGCGATGAAGCAACTTACTCGTCATTTTCTTGTTATGATTGTTGTTGTCGTTGTTGTCGTTACCTCGTTACTACATAGTTCATTACTATTGTTTCCGTTAACGTTGCGTTACGATCATGTGGATCGCAATGTCTGCAATATGCGATTAGCCTAAACGCGAGGTAATTATCACGGTGGTAGCACAGTATGCGCGTGCTGTAGAAACTGGGTTTATTTAGTACGCTCCGGAAGCTAGGAATTGTAATGCTGTTATCGTATTACCTTACCCTTACATATTATATAAGTAAATGTACATATATATATATTATATATATATATATATATATACATAATATA